ACACAGAGCCAGGGAACATGCCAAATCCCAAGCCTCTCCCACCCGTCCTGGGATTTGGCTAGGGAAGGCTCTGAAGCAAGCAGTTAGAAAATGAATATGCAAATATCAAGGATGTTCCAGCAACCTGTTGCCCTGTGAAAGATACTTGGAAATGTTGGGCCTGATTCGCCTCTTGCTGACACCAGTATAAAGCAGAAGTAGTTTCCTAAAAACAATGAAATAACAGCAGTGTGAAACCAAAATCAGTCCCCTAGATTCTTATATAGACACACTCTTAGTTTTTCTTCTCCTTAGTACTGCACAAGAAATTATTTCTAAGCTCTGAATTTTAGATAACTATATTTTAGCTACATGGCTATATTCTGCAACCTATTTTCTTTTTCAGTTAACATTATATCTATATTTAAATACTTACTGAAACCTTGGATCTTCCACTACAGCATTAAAATGCTGAGGTGTGCTTTGATCTTTATTAATAACATTAATATTTGTGACTAAAATAATTTCTTGAAAATCACGCACAGGTTTATGACAGGATCTTTTTTGGAGTAATTGTTTTAGCTGGGAATTCAGCATCACTACCTACAGAATGTTATTTTTATTCAGAAAGAAAGGCAGGCAAAAAGCAGCCCCTCCCCCATGATAACCCAATGCTACTTGTTCTGGGAGCAGACTTGGGCTAGACCTTTCCCAGCTTCAAGAAGACTTTGATTTCATAGTTGAGGGAACTAAGAGATTTATGTTCTCTCCTTTGTTCCTTAGATCAAAATGAGACATATTTGGAGAAAGTTATTAAGGTTATAAAATGCCCTATTTTTTGTGCATTAGGATAATCATCACCGTTCTCAGGGTGGGAATGACAAGTTGGTTTTTTTTGTAAAATGTTGGCCTTGCTTTTCAATTAAAACTATGAGCACTTGTAATTGTGAGGACCTGACAGGTGACCAAAATTAGCATGGCTATTTTAAATCAAAAGATACTGTAATAAGGTCATCAAGACATATATTTTAATCAGTCAATTAGTGACTATCAATTATGATTGACTTTAACAAATGATAAACACACTGACATTACAGTGTGAAAGGTTTGCAGGGAATGATGCTTTAAAAGTTCTTTAGTTAGGTTCGGATTATAAGCAGTCTGACAGCAAAAGCCCATTCGATGTACACAATGAGACAGTGAACTCAAGGAACTCTAGGGAGTGAATCAACACTGAACTGGAGTTTGCAAGAGTTGGGAAGAGTGAATTCAGAAAGACCCCTTTGTCTGTGCCTTTTGTGTTTGACTCCAGCTGGCTCTAATCTTTAAATATTTACCCTGTTCTATTGTTCAGATAAAATTTACACACTTTGGGCCAGGTCACTGGTAAACTGTGCAGCACTTATACAAATTTTAGAGATTTTAATCTGCAAAATCTGGAATGCAAGCAAAACAGTATGTTTCTGAGTTATTGTCTGCACTAAAACCCTTTAAAAGGCTCTTTATAGCAAGTTCCACAGAACTCCAAGGGGTTAGGTCACAAAGAAGAATTTCTGGTTTGAAATGTAGGATTATTTTGTCATAGACTAAATGTGGACAGTTTTTTTTAGGAAGACAGGATCTTTGCCCAGAGGAATTTACAATTTACAGAGGAAAAATCACAGCTACGTGGGTAATAATCAGGCTTGAGTGAAGAAACTGTTGGTGCTGGAGTGAGTTGGAAGACTAATAGTGGCAAAAGTGGATACAAGTTTGAGTGCCTCATCTTCAGGTTCCAGCTTCAGACATTTTGAACCTGATTTTCAGAAGAACTGAGTAGTAGCAGGACTCCCTTACTTCAGTTAGAGTTCTTGTTGCTGAGGAGAGATCTAGTACAGAAGGATGTTGCTTTATGTACCAAGAAAAGTTTAATCATCTAGGGCGAGTCTGGATGAGTGCACACATGAAGTTTGTGGCACCACAGACCCGTCTGTGGTGCCACGAACTGCATGTGCCACACGTGCAGGTGTTCACCGCACTGCTAATCTGCAGTGCAGCAGGGTTTTTTTTAATACCAGGAGATCCCATTATCAAAAAAAACCCCGTGCCAGAAAAAAGTGAGGTGGTGCAAGTGGCCACAGTATGCACTGCCCAAAACAGGAAAGGCTGGTCAGAGCCATGCTCCAGCTGCTGGCCAGGCTCCACATACCCAGATTGCTGTTGTTGAAGCCCTGTGAGGCTCCCAGGAGCCCAGATAAGGCTGCTGGAGCCAGACCAGGGCTGCTTCCAGCCTCCCTACCCCACCAGGAGCATTTTTCCCCCGTGCTAACCCCACGTACAGGGACATGTGCTAGGGCAAAAAGCAGGGTCTTGAATTTGTGCTGCTGCTTTTTTCCCTGCAGCAACCGCACACCCCTGCTTGTGAGAACGTGGCCAGAATTAGTTAAATTCCCAAGAATGGTTTGAAAAAGGACCTGCTAGGATCTCAGACCACTAAAAATATTGAGGCAGATAATGAAATTGATGCCTTCCACAGGGATATAGTGGCATACATACACAACTCACAACTATAAACATACATTCTTTAACTTGCCCCTGAGGTTTGTGTGCTTCTTTTGACTAATTCACATGCCCCCTCTAGTGTTTAAGACATAAAGATACAGAATCGTGAACTGGGTTACAAGCTGTGCAGGCAATTGCAAGTGACACACAAGGCTTTTATGAACTGTTGTCTGGGCCAAGAGACTCTGTTGCCATGGGCTGTTCAAGGGAAGTAGTTTGGCTGAGGTTTGCTTCTATAACTGGATATAACTGGACATTATTTCAGTCTCTCTTTTTCAGCAGTAGAGTGCACTGCCTTTCCCAGGAGCACCAATATTCAGAAGAACACTCTTACAATATTTCCTTTCACAGCATCTGATTGAGCTTCAGCTTATGAAAACTTGTGCTGTGTCTATCTACACACACACACTTTGGTTACTCTGTAAGTTGTGAATCTACATTGCCTTATACTTGACCTCAGACTAACACTGTCATGATGCCTAGGTAGAAAAGATTTGGGTTTTTTATTATTTTTTATTTCACTTGTAAATTTTGACTAATTTCTTGAAGTAAATCTGAAATGATGTCACTGAAATCAATTGATGAGAGAATAATCAAGCCTTTTTCACTGGGATACTGTTCACAGGTGTACGTCTTTTTTTTCTCAACCAAGAGTTCGTCAAGAGTCAGTTGCTTTACTGCTCATTTTGATATGGTCTACTGACTAAGAGATAAATATCCCTTTCCTTTTCTATCACCCTGGGGACTCTTATTTTCCGGGACATGTATGTATTATTACCGAGATCCAAGCATGCCAAGATTAAAAAATGGTTTAAACATAGTAAGATTTAAAAGAAAAGAATTTGTTTTTTTTTTACTTAGCCATTTGTTTTATTTCGGCCCTCAGGTTCACATTTTAAAGTCCAGGTTCAGGTTCATGTTTTAAAGTCCAAGACGTCTCTGAAATCACTGGAGTTCAGAACACTGCTTACATTTTGGCCATATGCCATTAGCGTTAAAAACTGCCACATTCTCCTCCAGGGAGGCTAAATTTTATAGGCAAAGACCATTTTGGTGACAGCTCCCCCTGTGCTAATGTACAGACATCTCGAGTACTGCCTGATGCACGGCCCAGGGGTTAAGACTGAACGGAGCTAATTTTTTTTATTGTTATTTTGTGTTCCAGGTCAAATCAGCCAAATCTGTTCTGAAACCTACTGACTGAGCAGACCTCAATCATTCAAATCCTTGCCGCACTACAGCAGCAAGTCTCCTCCCTCCATGGCAGGTATCCTCGCGCAGGCCAAGCCCGGGGGCCTGGGGTTCAGTTCAGATGCCCCAATGTGTTGCTTGCCCTTAACCAACGGGCCACAGGAGCAAGCTAGGGGGAAATCCTCTCTCGCCACAAACCAGGCGTGTAGCCCAGGTCGCTCCTGGGGGCCGCAGGCCTCCACCCTCTTCTCCACAGAGACACCCGAGGCCCGGGACAAGGGCTCTTCCCTCCCCATGGCAGCGGGCGGGCAAGCGACCAGATCTGGGCACGCACAACAGTAAGGACGGCTGCGAACCCCAGCCGGTTCCCCGAGGCCGAGGCAGTCCCGGGACTATCGTGAGACCGAGCGCGCGGCGGGAAGTCTCGCGGTGTTTGGCGGCGGCTCTCGCGCGGCGCCGTCATGGCCGCCGCGGGAAGGCAGCTGGGCC